GAACTCATTCCCCAGTACACACACACACACACACCAGAACAGACTCTAAGTGACAGGAAACAGGTCTGCTGCAGCAAGGAGGAGTTCCGGATAAGAGAAGGAAGCTAAAGTCATCCACAGGATAGTAACTGAGGGTGAGAGGCAGCAGCATAGCAGACTTAGCTTGATATACACACACAGAGAAATAGTTATAGCCTTGGACACACAGATATCCTACTCTGGCCACTGAGAGAACACAGAAACAAGAGTGTCCCAGGAGCAATGACCACACCTTGTGCCCAGATCTTGGTTTCTGGGCCATTTTCCCATAAAAGAAACCAGGACTCCTTACAGAACTGGCTAATTTCTAAACAGAAATAAACAGGATGAGCCTGGGGCAGAAACCATGCAAGTGCTTTAAAAACAGAAAACGCAAAACCAAACATTGCCAGGGAGTTGTCAAGAGTGGGGATTTAGCAGCTTAAGTTGGGACACGAATGAGAAACTTGGGGTATAAAATAAACACTGATAAGAGAAACAGCTGATTGGTCGATGGCAGAGAACAGACACATCTCTCACATGAATTACAACTATGTATGGAGCCACTCTGCCTGTGTGTGTGGAGCATAGACTTCCATAATCTCAAATGTGTGCTGTACATCACGACTTTCTTCAGACAGTGGAAAAGCAGGAGAGACACTTGATTGCTCCCTGAAGCCAGGTGACCCTGGAGATCAACAGTGTCCCACAGACCTACAGCAGGCTCCTCTGACAGCCTTTCTTCTCGAAGCCTTTGACTGAGTCTGCCCACAAGAAAAAGACCCATCTACAAAATAACTAGCAAGTAACCCTCAAAACCCTCACTTAAAACAGGGATGTTCTGAGAAACCATCCCAGCAAGTGAAAAGAGCCTCCTGAGACACACTGCCTGGACAGTGCTAGCCTGGAGAGCGGAAGGAGGAAAATGAAGATCTGGACATAGAAATTCCAGTTTATGGTGCTGTACTGACACAGGCTCATTAATTATGGCAAATGTTCTACCCAGAAATTCAATAGTATCTTAAAATAGGCATAAAGCTAAAATTGTTTTTAAATATTTTTTGAGCCGGTCTTACATATCCTAGGCTGGCCTTGAACTCAGTAGGTATCAAAAGGTAATCCTGAACCTCCCACTCTCCTTCCTCAGCACTGGGATCACTGTGTGAACGTCAATCAATTCATGCAGTGTTGAGGACTGAACCGAGACAGATCATCACGCATGCTAGGCAAGCACTTTCATCTGTACATTCCCAGGATCTAAAATACAATACTTTTAAACCACCAACGTTTCAAAATAAATAACTTCATGTGCATACAGAGATTGCAAGACTTCTCAAGTACTAACTCTAAAAATGTAGATTTCAAATTAACAGAGGTTTCGGGATCTCCCAATCGCTCCCCAGTGCTGTAGACTCTGGACAGGGATCCTGCCTCCTGAGGAGTTTCAGAAGCTGTTCTGAGACTTCAACTAAAAAGAGGCAGAGTGCTAGAGATGGACGGTTTAGTGGTTAAGACTGCTCTTCCAGCAGACTTGGTTCAAGTCCCAGCACCCACATGGCAGCTCAACCTGTCTGTAACTCCATTTCCCTGGCTTCTGACACCCTCACACAGGCAAGCATATAGGCAAAACACTAATGAACATAAAATTAAAATAAATTATATATATTAAGAGGCAGGGGAATAGGAAACTATCAGTAGATACTGCCTTGGAACAATCATTAACAAATTTCCAAAAGCTGCTTAAAACTGGGTAAGAGCTTTGTCTAGTAGAACGGTAAGCAGGCTCTAGGTGAGTCATGGTCAGTAGTGGCTGGACAGAAACTGCTGTGCAGACATCTTGCAAAATATGACTACTGGTTCATTTGCTGGCATTTAAAAGTATGAGATGCATGGGCTGGTGAGATGGCTCAGCAGTTAAGAGCACTGATTGCTGTACCCAGGGCCCTGAGTTCAATTCCCAGCACCCACATGGTAACTCACAACCATCTGCAATGGGATCTGATGCCCTCTTCTGGTGTGTCTGAAGACAGCTACAGTGTACTCACATATATACAATGAATCTTTAAAAAAAAAAAAAAAAAAGTATGAGCTGCCACAGAGTTGTTCCGTCTTACCCAGTGGATGCCAGATACTATCTATGCACGGTACTGAACCCTAATATACTGATTTCCTCTCTCCATACACACCTGAGACAAAGGCTACACCCTAGGTCCTCGGGATCAACCTCATCATGAGTGGATGCCACAGTGCCTGTCTGATGAAATAAAGTGTAGGTGCTGTGATGTAGCATTAGGCTGCCTCAGACCTTCTAACAATACATGAAAGGGGGACCTTTCAGGCCACAGTTATGTTGGGGATGACTGGGTGTCAGGGGCAGAGGGGGATGGTGGTTGGGGGATCTGTGACAGCAGGACAGCATAGGACTTTTTTTAAAAAGAAAAAATAATAATAAGTTACTGTAACCACCATCACTAGAAAAGTAGACATTCTATTTGTTTGTTTGTGGCAGAGTCTCACTATAGAAGAAGACATGTAGACCTCTATGGCCTTGAACTCAGAGATCCATCTGCCTCTGCTTCCCTAGTGCTAGAATCAATGACACGTGGGGAAAGAGAAAGGATAAAACCCTTATGCCAGTCAGAAGGGAAACCTGTCCAGAAAGACTTCATACAGTTTTTACACAGTATCAGATGTGTACTTACAAGTACAAGGTGGTACTTTTACACAGTACCACCTTGCCGGACAGACTGGAGCAGGAATATGCTGGACCAGTGACAGGCAGGACCCCATCCTGACCAGGACTGCTTGACTACGCATATTACACATATTCCACCCCTCTAGTCAAGGCTAAACCTCATGACAGTATCTTGGGAAGGGACCTGAAGCCAGAGGATCCTTTCATTTGTCCCTTTTCCCAATGTGGGCACACTAAATACATCTCCTTTTCTGAGCTTCGCTGTTGGTTATCTCATTAATTAAAATATTCTCAATCAGTAGCCAAATCTAGCTTGTTGGCACTGAGACCTCAGACTTTTACCCTGAAAACTCCAGTTACTAAAACCTTTCAAAAAGACATTGTGGTTGCCTAGGACAGTGGCATACACTTTTTGTCCCAACATTAGGGAGGCAGGCAGATCTCTGTGAGTGAGAAACCAGTCTGGTCTACATACTGAATTCCAGGCCAGCCAGAACTGAAACCCGTCTAAAAATAAATATTTTAATAGCATATCAATCTGAAATTATCTTGTTAACTCTATCAGTAATGTTTTCAGGGAATACAGTCCTTAGGTGATCACATGGATGCCTTTAGTGCTCGTTCCAGCCAAGGATCATAGGTCATAACGGTGTCCTTTGGGGCATGCAGAATTTGAAACATACTGGGAACATTTGATGAAGTCTACACTGCTAGCTCTGCATCATCATATGCCTTCCAATTCCCCACTTGCTGGTACTTCAAAATCGCCTTCATGTGTCCCTCTGCTGGGATTATAGCAGAAGCTTATTCACTGGCAGCTACAGCCTCTATGGAGATGTTGTTTTTCAGAACAAATCCATTCCTAACCTGTGTAGCCATTCCTTATTCCCAGTAAGTGGCTTTGTGTTCTTGTTTCAGGGGACACTTGGCCTTCACATAGCGTAAGGCATTCTTTGTCTGTGTGTACTCACAAATGTGATGCCCTCTCTACCCTACCTAAGCAAACATCTACTACACACTATGGCTGTAACCTTGGCAATGTGAGATTCACAAGCAACACTACCACTTATTAATATTTCAGAAAAGTTTCCATGTAGCTCTCAAATTTGCTATGCAGCCAAGGACAGGGGTATAGGAGTGCTCGCCCCCGACCCCCACCCCTAGTCTTATGGTGCTATGGAGAAAACCCAAGGTGTTTTGCATGCTGGGTAAGTAAGCACTTTTCCAACTGAGCCATATCACCAGCTCTGATTTTTAATTTTTTGTTTTTGTTTTGTTGAGACAGGGTTTCTCTGTGTAGCCTTGGCTGACCTGGAACTTGCTCTGTAGATCATGCTGGCCTCCAACTCACAAAGATCCTCCAGGACAGCCAGGACTGCACAGAGAAACCCTGTCTTGAAAAAAACAACAAAAATTTTGTACTCCAAAAGACTTTAGCAACTTTTGCCTAAAGAGCTTTTTTCTTTAAGTTAAAAAAAAAAAAAAAAGCTGTTTAAGTAAAAAAAGCACCTTTTTTCCTTAGCAGTAGCAGTGTTTGGCTTTGCTTCGGCAAAGCCCAAAGGTTATATACTCTGGTGTAAAAGGGTTACCTGAACACAGGCAGCTGTTCTACGTGACTAATGAGTGGGTAGCATATACAGAAGGATACGCCAAGCAAGATGATGTATGTGGAAAGCAGGAAGAGGTAAAACTTCATCATGCTTCTTTCTTAGGGCCGGGAAGAACAGTTCTGGGGCTTGGACGTGGGACTCAAGCAACTGAGCTCTTCAACACGCTACTCAAAACACACGAATTAAAAGCCATGTGATGTCTGTTTCTGGAGTCTTCCACTTTCTATATTCAGGTGACAGGTAACTGAAACCGCAAGTAAGTGGGAGGCGATTGCATTCACCGTCCCGTTCTCTGACAGAGTTTTCTCTCAAGCGCACACTGCACCTAAGCACTTACACATTCATGGCCTCCTCATCCTCCGCGCAAGCCTTTGTGCGCTTTTTGCGGAGGAGGAAAGTGACCGGGGGAGGAAACACGAGATGCCCGAGGTTACATAGCAATACAGGGCACACCCCACAAGCCAAGCCCGGGCTCCACCTGGCGGAGGGCAGGCTGGGCCCTGGCCCTGAAAGATCCTAGCGAGGGCCCGGGCGAGGGCCCCCGTCTCCTCGGAACGCAGACTGCCATCGCACGTAACTTTCCTCCGCAACCTCGGGAAGCCACTAAATTCCGCAGCACTGCACCGATCCCGCCCGCCGGGAAGCCCCGGCCGGGCCACCCGCACCTGAGTACTTACCTCCGGTAACGCTGCGCCGCCGCACCGGAAGTGATCCCTCGTGACCCGGAAGCGATGTGCGGGCAGCAGCAGTGCAGTAGCAGCAGCAACAGCAGATTCCGTTCAGCCGGCTTTACCCAGGTCACGGTTTCCCTGCCGTCCTCCTGCTCGTTCCTAAAAGCACACTGAAGGTTGAAGCTTTAATGAATTTTTGTTTGATTTGAGACAGAGTCTCACAGTGTATCTCTGACTGGCCTCGGACTTGGAGCAATTCTCCTTAATACAGAGGGTCTCCACACTGTTTAGAACTCAGTTGTAAGTCTGAACCAGAAACCTACAATATCAAGGAGTAGGACAAACATTCACAAGCTATAATTCAGACAAGACCAAATCAGCATAATAAATTAAAAAGAAACCAGTGAACATCTCTGCTTCCATGGAGTTTATAGCCAGAGTAAGTCACATGATAGATATAGGATCCATAATGCGATAAATGTTTGGATGGCAAATAACAGAGTATTGGAATAAGTGACAGATCAGTTAGGAATGGAGGCCCAGTTTAGGCAGTGGGTGGTAACCAGCCTCCATAATGAGCAGTGATGTTATTGGTGCCTGATAGTCAAGCCTTTTACCGCCTCCTCCCACGCTGACCAATGTGACCCATAAGATATCGGGGAAATACAGAACTTGAGTTCCGAGATTAAGACAGAAAAACACTGTGACTTCCTCTTTCCTCACTCTTCATCATTCCTGGGAAGTCCCACATAGTGAGGTTCACATGGGCAGTTACCAAGCCTCCAGCCAACAACAAACTCAGCTTGGCAGCCAAATGGTTCTCCAGGGTTCATCCTTCAGTCCCGAGTCAGCTGATGTGGCCCTGACCCCTAAATCCTTTATGTGTGTGTGTGATGTTGGTGTGGGTGGGTGGGTTTGGGTGTGGCATATGCACACATATGCATGTACCTATGCATGCTGAGGCCAGAGTATATCAGGTGCTTTATTATTAGTTCACCTTGTTCCCTTGAGATAGGGACAGCCCCAGGGTCCCTGTGTCCACCCGGTCTTGGCACTGGCATTAAAGATGTACGTGTGGCCAAGCCTGGCTTTTTACTTTGGGTGTTTGAGACCTTCATACTTGGTCAACAAGTACTCTCACCCACTGAGCCATGCCCAGCCCTAAAATGAATTGTGTAGATGGATTTCTGGTTTTGCTGTTGTATTTTTTCCCTTTTTCTTTTCTAACGATGAGGATGAATCTTCAAGCATGTTGCTCCAAACTCCTGCTGCTGTCACTTCCTCCCAACACAGACTGTAATTGTCAACCATGAGCCAAAACAAACTTCCTAAGTTTCTTTTGTTGGAGCATGACAGCAATAAGCGAGTAACTAGGGACTCGAGAGAGGCCTCAGTGGTTAAGAGTGCTTGCTGCTCTTGCAAAAGAACCTGGGTTTGGTTTCCAGTACTCACATATGGGCACAAAATCTTTTATAACTCCAATTTCAGGAAATCAGAAGCTTTCTTCTGGTCTCTATGTGTACCAAGCATACATGTGGTATACAAACATACATACATACATACATACATACACACAGGTTAAACATCCATATATCTATGAAGAAAAGCTAAAGAAAGAAAAGTAGCTAATACAGGTAGAATTGAGGTCTGGAGAGAACAAATAGTTAATACAGAACTTGCCCTAAAGGTGCCGATTATGTGTAGATAAGGACAGTGTTTTTTGTTTGGGAGTGTTTTATTTTTGAGACAGGGTCTCAATGTGTCATTCTAGCTGGCCTGGAACTCTCTATATAGACCAGGTTGGCTTTGAACTCACAGAGATACATCTACCTCTGACTCATTAAGCCACCATATCCAGAAAAAAAAAAAAAGATGTTTTATGAGATGAGTTATATACCCTCCACCCATAGATATTTTTTGGAACGTAACCTCCATTACTCCATAATGTGATTCTATTTGGGGACAGGACCTTTGTGGGGGAAGGGGTTGCAGTAAACCTTATGGATGGTATTCAGGAGAGTAGGGCTCCCTGAGCCCCCCCACCTCCTTCCAAGGGTCTAGGATAGAAACTGTGATGGGGCTCAGTGCTGGGGGCTGAGTTTGGACAGGAACTCCTCAGCGGCCTAGGGCCTTTCCCCCTTGTGATCTTGCTGGGGTGGGTAGTCCAGGCCTTCTTACTCGTTGGAGGCCATGGAGGCCATGAGGCCTGCCACCTTTTGCTGTATTCATTGTCATGATAGGAAATGAGCTATGTTATGGAGTCAAGATTTTTACAAAAGTAAATCAACTGGACATGGTGACTCACACCTGTAATCTCAGCACTTGGGAGGCAAAGACAAGCAGATTTCTGTGAGTTCAAGACCAGCATGGTTAACAATGTGAGTCCCAGGACAACCAGGACACACATAGAAACCTTGTTAAAAGATGGGGGGGGGAGATGGAAGGAGGGAGGGAAGGAGAGAGAGAGAGAGAGAGAGAGAGAGAGAGAGAGAGAGAGAGAGAGAGACCCAGCACTGGAGGAGCAAAGGCAGAAGGAATTATCCAGGAGAGACAAGACTAAATAAAGCACTCTTGTCTCAAACAAAGAAACCAACACACAGAGGGCCTAGGAGCTAGCTTCTTTAGTCAAGATGCTGCTGCATATGTGTACATGCCTGGAGCCTGAGTTCAACCCCCAGAACACACATAAAAATGGAAGGACGGAACCTACTCCACTAAGTTATTCTCTGACCTTCACATGTATGTCATTCATAGCATGTATGTTCTTTTCCACGTGTGGACACATGTATGCACACACACACAAATAATATATATTTTAAGAGAAAAATGAGATCAATAGGATGAAATGTTAAAATTTAATATAAAGGGCTACAGAGATGGCATGGCTCAGAGGTTAAGGGCACCGACTGCTCTTCCAGAGGTCCTGAGTTCAACTCCCAGTAACCACATGGTGGCTCACAACCACCTGCTGTGGGATCAGATGCCCTCTTCTGGTGTGTCTAAATACAGCTACAGTGTACTCATATAAATAAATAAATAAATAAATAAATAAATAACTCTTTTTAAAAATCTGATCTAAAAAGAAGGGGATTTGGACACAGATGCACACATGAGGATGTCATGTGGAGATGAAGGCAAACATGGAGGGATGCTCCTATAGGTCAAGAAGCACCAAGATTCCCCCATCAAGCCCCGGGAGCTGAGATGGCTGTAGAATAGATTTCCTAAGCCTTCACAAGTGCCATCAGACTACTTGGTTTCAGACTCCTGGCTGCTGGAACTAATAAATGTCTGCTGCTCAAGTCACCTAGTATGTGACATGTACAGCCCAGCCCTGGCATGCTACTACAGGTAATGTGGGAAATACGCGGATACAGGTAATGTAGGGAATAAGTGGATACATGTCCTCTGAAACCTGTTACTGTCTCCAAATGTAAAAAGATGCCCAGTGTGGCTGCCTCAGGCACAGCTACTTTCTTACTCTCTGGAAGTACCTAGAGGACTCCAGCTGAGTTGAGCTTCTCTCTGTGCCCGTCATTCCTCCAGCAGCACACAGCAGAGCTCTATGGCAGGTTTGCCTCTAGCTTTCATGTCTGAACAGGCTCAAAGCATGGGGATAGGAATGGTTTCTACTCAGAAAACATGTCTAACGTGGCTTAACACCAGAGAGAGTGACCACTGAATTACTCTATTTTGTTTCCTTTGTCTCTGTGTATGGGTTTTTGTTTGGCTGGCTTTGTTTATTTGGCTTTTTTGGTTTTTTGAGACGGGAGTTTGTTTCTCTGTATGTCTCTAGCTATCCTGGAACTTAGTGGACCAGGCTGACCTCAGACTCAGAGATCCACCTACCTCTGCCTCCTAAGTGCTGGGATTAAAGGCATGAGCCACCGCCATCCAGCTCTGTGTATGGTTTGTATACAGTGTATGCATGTGTGCGCATGTAGAGGCCAAAGGTCAATGTTGAGAATCTTCCTCTATTTCTGTCCTGTTTTTTTTTTTCCCAGACAGGGTTTCTCACTGAACATAGAAGTTGCCATTTATGCTAAAATGGATGACTAGAGGACCCCAGGATCAATGCGTGCTAGGATTAGAGATGCAAGCCACCATCTTACATAGGTGCTAGGGGTTGGAACTCAAGTGCCCGTGCTTGTACAGGAAGCACTTTACCCACTGAGTCGTCTCCCCAGCCCTTCACATGCTGTTTTTTTATGTTTTTGACTGGATCCCACGTACTACACACTGATCAGTAGCCTGCCCCGCTAAAGGCTAAGTCTCATTTCCATCCAAGGGTGAAGGAAACTAAGGCTGGGAAAGCCAGGTAAGTCCCTCAAGGCCTCAGAGACTGCATTAGCCATTGCACAACAGCCAACCTGTGCAAGACAGACAGAGGCCGCATACATGTTGAACCAAGGCAGCTTCCTGTGGGCCCTGGGTGGTTGGTGTCATAGTTAGCATTAGCTGTCAACCCGACACAAACTTAGAGTCACGTACGAGGTGGGAACCTTAATTCCGGAATGGCTGGGATCAGAGTGGCCTGTGTCTGTGAGGCGTTTTCTTAATTAGTAATTGATGTAGGAGGGCCCAGCACACTGTGAGTGGAGTCACCTCAGGGAAGGAGGCTGAGTAAGCCAGGGGGTAAGCCAAAGGGTAAGCCAGAGGCTAAGCCAACGAGCAGGGTTCATGCAAGTTTCTGCCTCTTCCTGCTTCAGTTCCTGCCCTGGCTTTCCTGAATGACGAAATAAAACCTCTCCTCCCTAAGTTGTTTTCAGTCAGGGCATTTTATTATAGAAACAGTTACAAACAAGAATAATGGGCTATCTCTAGGTATGGGAGAAGGAAAGTAGAGAGAGGTATGCAGTACTTTGTATGAAATGTGTCCCAGGGCCTGATGTATTTGATGTACTGGAGGAGCTGGAGAAATGAGTATACTTTAAGGGCTGTAACTTTATCATCAACGGATTAATCCTTTGGGTGATATATTATTAATTTTCTATGTGGTGATGATGGTGATGGTGATGATGATGATTACGATGATGATGATTGAGAG